GTCTTATCAGTTATACTTCAAATCAGCCAAATGCATTCATGTTTCTCTCTATATATTCCTGATTCCAGTCTTTGTGTCTGTCTGCCTGTCTGTGTCTCTTGGATTCTCACTCTCTGTTCTCTCTCTCTCTCTCTCTCTCTCTGTGTGTGTGTGTGTGTGCGCGCGCGCGTGTGTGTGTTTTGTACCTTTGTCACTGTGTCTTTCTGATTTTCTTACTCCTAAATATAAAGAATCCAGGAACAAGGCAGAACTTGGATCATCACACTGCTCTTCCATTTTGCAGTTTGCTATCTTAACATGTCTCTGAATGTCAGTTTCTCCATCTTTAAAATGGAGATAGTAATATTGGTCTTGTTGAATTGACATTAGGATAAAATGAAACAAAGAGTATAGATTAGGCAACTCAGTTCTTGGCTCATAACAGGCATTCAATAAATGTTAGTTCCCTCTCCCTCTCCCTCTCCAATATACTTTACTCTTACGATATATAGGATCCCATCAATCTGTTGGCTTTCCTCTAGTGTGGCCTGCCCTCAGCCCATTTTCAGATCAGCCAATGGAGCCATGACTGGCTGAAACCATTTTTCATCCGATTGGTCTCATTCCAGCAGTTTCATGCAGCCTCTCACTATAAATCAGTCTGGGAAAATAAATGTCCCCAATCCATTAGTGCCTTTCCACCGCAAGCCAATTTGAGCCACAAACCAGACAAGGCTTGTTAATGGCCACTTAAATACATTCCTGCAGTCCAGCCTGGAGACCCTCAGCCTCAAATCCTACCAGCTCCTGCCCAAGAGAAGCTCCACTGTGACAAGATTGCTGACAGAAAAGGCATAGATCTGATCCTTATCAGTTAAGGAGGACCATGCACCTGGTTTGGCTAAAACAGTTCCAGTTTGTTCTTGTTGTCCCAGAATGATTATTTTGGCATCCCTTTTAAAAGAGTTCCAGTTTGAATGATAAACTATAGAAAGTGTCTATGGAAACCAAAAATAATAGTTCAAATAATAATGGCTGTCATTTATTGACCACTATGTGCCAGGCATCATCAAAAAGATTTTTATGCCCTGTATCTCATTTAAACGCCATTACACACTATAAAAAGAGTTGCTATTATTATCTCCATTTTATAGACCAGGAAACTGAAGTTTAGAGGAGTAAGCAATATGTTCAAGGTCAACTAGTGTGCCTCACCCCATCTCTTGGGCAGTGCACCCATCCCCCAACTGCTGGGAATGCTGACTGCTCCTGGTTCAGAGCGGTCCCCTTCCCTGCTTCTATTTCCAAGGGGAATTGCCCTCAGGCCAACAGAAGCCACCTCTGTTTGAGAGGTTCCATGCCCCGACTCAGGAAGTAGCCCACAGCCCATAACTAACTGACGAAGGCTGTGGGGATGAGGAGAGGAGTGCAGGAGCACAAAAGGCTTTCCCTATTGCTTCAAGGTTAGACTGACTCTGTGGTACAGTGCTTGCTCCAGAACTCCTGGTGGGATCCAGCTAAAACCAAATCCTTACTTGGTTTCTTCCTCTACCTTAGCCCTCTTCTCTTGCTCCCATCTTCTTGAAAGCACCCTCAATCGACCACTTAAAAAAGCATCCCTGTCTCAGGCTCACTTCCAGGAACCAGACCTAAGACATCCAGTTAGCAAGCAAGTGGCAGAGTGGGACTCATGTCTAGGAATGTCTCATTCTTAATCATTAAGCAGGTATGACATGATATCGCCTAATTACATATATGATTAAAATGATGGCCTCAAGTTATCAAGCTGCCAAAAAATATGTCATATAGGTACAGACATGACAACAAAACTGACAACAGTCACAACAATAGCTACTATTTATTTAGTGCCAACAGTGAGCCAGTCTCTTTCTTATATCTGATTCTCTCAACAACATGAGGTTCATCTTATTATTCCCATTTTGCAGTTGAGGCACAGAAAGCTTGAAGAAATTAAGAGAGATGTCCACTGTTGTTGCACAGATAGAAAGTTTGGGCTTCCATCCAAGTCCACCTTTCCCCAAAGCCCGTGCACACTTCTTCTCCTTGGCCACTTAAATCACTTGCTGTGTAAATTGTTCAATGAATGGTTGATGAAATAGGTTCTCTGTTAAAGCTGATGTTCTTGTAATAACTTAGACAACTCTGCTATCCTTCCCACCCTGAGTGTTCCCTTAAGCCAGACATAAAATGATCAAAGGAGTCATGCCATATTCATTCAAGAAAAAAAGGAAAGCAAGCTTACATGCCAAAGGTCTGAAGAGTTAAATCACATTTCTTCTGTCTTTCCATGGAGGGAGATAAAATAGAATAAAAGGAAAACGACAGAGCCTTAAGGAAAGACAGACCAAGATTCAAATTCTAACTCTACTATCTGTGTGATGCTTTTGGTAAATTACTCAACATCTCCAAACCTCAATTTGTTCTACCATACGTAATACCTATCCCATAAATGAGAGGGTGTAAATGAGATAAAATATGTATTTCCCCCACCTCTTCTCTTCCATTTTCATAAAATGTATAGAGTAATCATCTTGGACCTTCATTCCAGGTCTGCATAATACTAGTTCAGATGGACTATGCTTTATTACCAAGAGCATGTCCTCTTTGATGATAAAAGGTTTCCATTAAAAATAGAGAACAGGTAAAAGATGGACCTTTATCTAGGAGACCATCAACTGATTCAAAAAAATACAGATTGAGTCATCCTGGCTCTCAAGGCTAAACTTACAATCAATGGGCATCTTTACTAGCCAATCCCAGCCCAGTGGAGAAGGACGGGCCTAGCGGGCAATCTTCACAAATCTATTCTAGGCCCCCCTTGCAAAACAAATTAAGTCTACTTCCAGCTTGGTTAAATGAAAATCATTCTGGGTTCTTTGCAACACTGTATTCCAAATGTTCCCCCAGACCTGGCTGGCTTTCTGAAAAACTGGGTGGGGGATCTGTAGTGATTCCACAGTGAGTGAGTGAGTGAGTGAGTGAGTGAGTGAGTGAGTGAGTATGTGTGTGTGTGTACATCTTGAATGAAGAATAGGCTTGTGTGTCTGGCTTTGAAAATCAATCTTCTGGCCTTCATCTTAACATTTATTATTTCAAAATGCTTCAGTTCCTTATCAGCTTTTATGCACGTAACATAAAGCTAGAGAACCCAGACCTATTTATACTGCAGATGTTGCTCTTTTCTTTAAAAAATAGCTTCAGCATTTTCACTCTCTCCATATATACTCTGACAGCATCCTAGAACTCAGTCCCCAATTTGGATGGAAGGTCATAAATTATACACACACATATAAAATATTTTTGATTGGTAGTTAAGGCAGGAGAATTATCAGTACATGGCTTTAATTTCACTAGGCAGACATTCTTCCTCCGGTAAGTGAAGAAAAATAATGATGCAATAATCCCTCGTCCAAGTGTCTTTCCTCAGTCCATTCATTCAGCAATAACTTATTCATTCAGTCATAACTTATTTAGGTTGTACTGTGCTGAGCATCAGGGATTTATCCATGAGTAAGCTCTGCCTTCTGGGATCAATCAGCTCAGTTCAGCAAGAGTTAACCAAATAGAACTGTATAGTAGCCCCAGCTTGCAAAAGCCTGTTCCCTGACCCTGAATTTCCCAGAGAAAGGGTTTAGAGTCAAGCATGACCGGTTACATGTATGCAGAGAGAGCCAAAAACCCAGAACAAGCCAGAGATCTGTGCTTGCTTCTCTCACGGGCTGCCTTTCAATCTGGCAAATGAAACCTGCACCTACTCTCAAAGTAGGGAGGGGAGGGGAATCTCCTTTCCATTTTTCTTGCCTCCAGATAGGCTCCCAGATTCTGGTTTTGGGGCTCTAATGTGGGAACCGGTGAGCTGGCTGCTGCCTTAGGGAGCAGTGTCTGCTGGGGACTTTAAAACAAAGATGGGAAGGGATAGGCCCACCTCACTGTGCTAACAGCAAGTTCCTCTTAGGAACTTCCCACGCTGCTGCATAGAGAACTCAGAGTGTTGGGTCCAATGAACATTCCGGGGTGAGCCCTCCCTCTCAAGAACTTCAGGGAAATAATCCATTTAGTGACGGCACTCAAAGGCCTAAACACACAAGGGGGTCTGAAGACGTCCCTGCAGAAGGAGTGGGGAATAGAAGGCAACTCAGACTGATGAGCTCCTTCTGAGATGGGAACAGGAGTTTGGAGAAGATTGATCAGTTTTTTGTTTGTTTTTCCCCTCTTCCAAGAAACAGAAGATGCTAGTGGGGAAGAGGAAGGGTTGAGCTGCAGCCTTGGCCTCACTCCTCACCAAGCTTAGTGCTTAGCCTCCTACTTCCCAGTTCCTTTGCCCAAACCAGGCTATAGGGAAGTAAGCCTGCGGGAGCGGGAGAAGGGATATTTCCCAGTCCTGCACCCATCCCGACATCACATAGAGCTTTAAAAGACAGATTATCAATTCCTGGCCATGCCACTTAGGGACGGCAGATCGATGTTGGACAATTCACTCTCTGTGAGTCCTAGTTTTCTCACCTGTAACAGGGGATACTGAAAGTACCTAACTCACTGGGTCCCAGGAAGTATGAAATAAGATCGCATACAGAAAACTAAAACTGATAGTTGGTACATAGTAAGCCGACGATTATTATTTTTTAACCATGTTATCATCAAACCCCCACCCTGGCAGCTGAGCTGTCCTACCCGACCGACTACTCCCGCAGCGCAATCTTCCAAACCCTGAGTGCTGGGCGCCACCACCCACCCCTCCTTTTCCTTCCCGAGAGCGCAGTCTCCTCCGGTCACCCCCTAGATCCCGCTTGGGGGAGAGGGAGGGCCACCTCTCAGCATCATCCCCAGCATCAGCAGCAGCGGGCTGCGGGGAAGCTCCGAGACCCCAGTCAGGGCGCGGAGGGGGGCACCCGCGGCGGCTGTACCCAGGGAAACCTCGCCTCTGAGGTTCTGCCACCCCCCGCCCCCGGAGCGCCGAGCGCGCAAAGAAGGAGAAAGCGAGAAAGGCGCGGATACTGGACCAGGCTTTGACGCGGATCTTGAGCTCGCCGTCCTGCGGCTCGGGCATGGCCTTCCTGGTGACCCGCAGCTTGTTGAGCCCCCCGAAGCCGGCCAGCACCACCGCGCGCATCTCCTGGGCGTCCCCGAGTCGGTGCGAGCCGCCGCCGCCCTCCGCCGGCTCCTTGCCTGCCTCCTTCTCAATCATTTGCTCCGTCTCTTCCGCTTTCTCCACGCCTTCTTTGGCCATGGCGCGCGGGGGCGCGGGGCGCACGGGCTGCGGCGGCTGCGACGTTGGGGGCTCGGGGCTCCTCTCCGGCGGGTTCCTCCTGTTGAATGTGGGATGCTCGGCTGTGCAATGGCTGCAGCCTCGGCGAGCGGCGCCGCTGTCCAAAGCCTCCGCCGTAATCCTCACAAAAGCCACGCCCGTGCCCGCTCCCCTGCTTTCTTCCCTGCCAAGCGAAGCCTCAAGTCTAGTGTCTGAACCAGTCCCAAATCAGGCTCTTGATCGCAGCCTCAGAGCCCAGATTTGCCCATCATTCGTGAACAAAACGCGCACAGCGGCGGCTGTGTCCTCGGTTTTGGGCGCAGTACTTGGTTATATACGGCGCACACTCGGCGCCTTGAAATGGACAGAGATGAAATGTCTGGGCCTGGAGGATGCCTCCCCGCGACAGGGTTGCCTCCTCTCTCATGGATCTGCGAGAGCAGACAAAATTGAAGGGAAATTGGGCTGTTTTCCCAAACCGCCGGTCCTGGCTGGAAAGGCGGAGAGGTTCTAGAATCGGAAAGCTAGAGATCCCACTCACCGCCCTGAAGAGTCCAAACCTAGAGTCTTTTCGCTCGGACGTCCAGGGTCAACTCGATGCTCTTTTTCTCAGCATCA